AAACAATCAGACGAAGTAACCTGTCCAGACTTGAACAAACAGTTATTGCATTCCTCATTTTCAAATTCTTGACGATATCCAATTGAACTTCAACCGTTGCAGTGGCTGTAAGAGCCATAACTGGAACTCTATCGCTGAGAATGTCACGAAGAGATGATAAACGTCGATAATCGGAACGAAATTCATGACCCCATTGTGATACACAATGCGCTTCGTCAATAGCCAACAAACCTATCCCTAAAAAGTGCGCGATATTATTGAGTTGTTAGTTTATAGCGATAAAAATACGAATGCTGTAATGATTGAATAAAAGGACGAACTTGAAGAAATTTTGCGCATTAAAGTATCGTTGTTTAATCCAAACTCAGGAGTTACATATAAAAGATTCAGCTTTCCACTCAAACATGCATCTACAATCTCATTTCGATCCTCATACGATGTTTCACCGGTAATACACGATGCTTTTATACCATTTGCTCTGGAACACAAAGCTGCATTTGTGGTAAGCTATTCCCTATGAGTATTGCATAAAATGATAACTTCAACTGAACGCTGAATTAATGTAAATTGATCGCTCCATTTGGAGGATAGATCAAAAATTTAACGAAAGGCACAGAAATACCGGGAAATTGAATCGAAATAAGAAATGTTAGAAAGAGGACATGATATCCCTTATATATTAAGAATCAGATAATCACAAAACAAGTTCAAAAAATAAACACCTCGCATTCGTAACTTGATCGTTCATTAATGATATAAGTGGTGATACGATTAGTGTTAAATTCTCTTGGATCAATGATGGCATCTGGTAGCAAATACTTTTTCCATAACCTCAAACACAGAAATATTCAAGCTACAGAATTCAACACTGTTTAACCATCATACCATACAGTTAGCTATATGAAAACATAATTGAAAGTAAAAAACATTGAAACATTTTTGAATGTCCCTTCAAATCGATGCCTAGCAAACGCTCGATTTATATTTACAATTAGTAAAGCTTCATTAGCTTTACTAATTGTAAATATAAATCTCATAGTTGTTTTTTTTCGCAATCTTTCGTCGTCCATTCAGAGCAAGCGATGTTCAATTCAATTTGAATAACGTTAAATCATTCAACGTCAATGTGGCTATCCCAAAAAATTTTTATAGGAACAAATCGATACGATTGAAAATGAATGAAAATCAACGTATCCGAATCACCTGTTGACAAGACAACCAGTTGATCTCGTCCATTCAATGCCTCACGAATAATCTCCCATTGAAGAGGACGAAACGATTTATGACCGAAGAATTTATTCAATTTCTTCAGTACATCATCTGATGGCTTATCATTTCTTGATTCGTTTTCTGCATTGGACTGGTTTTGTTGAAGCGCNTCTAAGTCCTACAAAAAAGACGATCCTCATCAAGAAAACCAAAAAAGAATCGTTCGATGCTGATTTCATTGGGCGTGTGAACTGCCGGGTCGGGGCTTGATCAAGATTTGCTCGGTTCAACCAAGACCAGAATTGCTAGGCGGTGCCAAAAATCATTCAGCCCCAACAAGAGTTGCGAGGCACGATGCTTCCAGGGTGCACTTACTTTTGCTTCCATTCCGACCTAGCACTTTTTGGCTCCACCTCACGATTCTTGACTCGACTCAAGAATCCTTGGCCGGGCTTAGAAACTCTTGTCTCGGCCAGGTCTTGCAAGTGCAAGACCAATGCTTGCAAGTCTTGCAAGCATTGGCTCGGCGGTCCGAGCTCAGCAATTCCGCACTTCCGATTTCACTTCCAAACTTTTCAAAAGAATTCGAATGCGTTTAGATAAAAAGTTCAGCCTTATGAGTGCTCACGGGTCTCACAGTTAAATATCAGTGAAAAAATCGGCAAACCCTACCCATAATGCGTCATCTCCATCCGAATCATAGAAGTCATCATCCATCGTTCAAGCACTAAAAATACCCTAATGTTTTAAAAGATGCTGGAACACTACAAGCAAGACATTATGACACTTGCTTAATTACTCACTCATTCAACCAGTGATTATAACTCATCTCGAATATATCCACAAATCTAATGACAGCAGAACAAAGTACCATCTGGATTCATGCAATTTCATTTCGTCATTGTTGCTGTACTATACGACTACCAGGCATAATGACAGACGCAGTGAACACGATGATAGAGTAGACGTAATAATGGAATTGATAGAGACTCTCATAAGAGAAACGGACTCTGTAAGATATCTTTCGAATATTAACGATCCATTCGAATAAAAGCTTTGAGCGGCAAAATTTGATTTCGAATATACAACTGAGGGGATTTCATCACCGATTCGAAGTCAACAGTCATAAAGTGGCGACAATTAGAGGATAATATCATAGTGGACTACACTTTACTCCGGGTTTAGACCGAGGTATTTCAGCCCATTTATGAGCATACTGCTGAACCCTGATATAGTGCTGACAACTCAAGGGCATAAATGCTCAGTTCGGCAACACTTCAGAAATATTTGATTGGTAAACAATACAAAACTCAACAGCTTAGTGATGCGTATTCTGAAGAAAAAGATTGCGACATTATGTAAAATAATAGAACTAATAACGGATAAAACTGATCTGCTTGAACAACCACCACTTTTGGCATATCGCTCAGCTGTTGTATCGCTCCTCCTACTTTCATGAACGCGCTAACTACAAAATTACCGCCAGTTATCGTTGCTTGTAGTTGTGATTCTGAGATTGTTTTCGCTGGTTGGGTTTGTTCACGGCTAGTTCAGTTCGAGCCGTTCGATCTTGAAGCGTGAGGTCGCTTTCTTCATTTGCGAAGTAAAAATGACCACATTCAATTCAAGTGAGTTGATAGTTATCGAATCAATTAATCAGTTTTCCTTATTTCCTTTATACGGCTCTTTGTTTCATTCGTTTTTTACCTCATTGTCAGCATTTGCAGTGATTTACGCCAGTGCACTTGTGAAATTTTCGAGCAAATAACTGTTTTCATATAACGAAACAAGTTCATGTTTGCAGTGATACATTGAAATGAAAACAATTTCAACGATGATAGATCACATGAACTGTTAGAATGAAATATTAATGTATTCCAGTTGTTCTGATTAGAGTTGAGCGTAGAGTGGCCTGACGGTGGAAAACCACCGTATCACATTCCGTCAATCGTCACCGGCTAACAAGAACATTTTGTCATTGTTGGATTTTTGTTAGATCGAACTTGGTTAGCATCGGCCGAAGCCGAAATAGAGCGGTTTTCGGTGGCGAATGACGGAAAACGAAAAGTTGATCAATATTTAGCCATGTAAAATCGAATTCCCGTGGCCACTAATTGAAATCAGTCTATGCTTAAAAGTTGCCTTCACGGTAAGGACCCCAAAAAAATCAGTGGTACGCAACTCCATTTCCAATCCAAGATTGATGGATCTTGTCGACGTATGTGAACTCACTTTTGAAATGATTGCAGATGAGATATCAGAGCAGTTGAGAAGGAGAAAGGAAAAGGAGGAACTCGAAAGGGCTGTTGATCTTCAAGTTTTGAAACTTGTCGAATATCGATCAACATACAGTCAAGCCATAGCGGACTGTGTTGCCGTTAAGGCTGATTATGTTGAACGATCAGTGGTATGTTCTTATCTGGCTAGTTTCGTTAAAATTTAAGAAATGATTACATTTTAATAGCAGACATTGATTGTAGTGCATAGCGGTGGCAGTAATCATCATTGCTACCGTTACGCTTTTGATATGAGCCTTAAACTTTGCATTTGAACTAACTGGATTGCCTAATCTCTCATCAGTTACACCTTAGAGCAATTACAAAATTGATGAGGCATTTTTGTTAGAATGTCATTCTCAACTGTAAATGAATCCTTCTAGCCTTTTAAATGTATTCTCGCGATAAGAACTGAAAAACCAAACAGCTGAAAAATTTACGCATTCTAAAATGCATCTTTTTAGAGAACATTCCTTCGCAAATTAAATCGTTTTAGCACCTTTTTCCGAGTGAAAAAGGCCTTCATTCAACTCCGATTTGAGAGGCATATTTAATTTTAAAAGAATTTTTTAAGGTTATGTTGAGCGGGTTAATTGGAGCCTATAATTCGTATGATGATCTTGAGATAGTACACCGAGTTTTTTGAAAACTTGTTAATGCCCCGTTGGTCATAGTTGCCCATATTACTAGTTTACCATGTGTTTGTTTATGTTGCCAATCGGCTAAGAGCGAATTGGATTGAGCCTGTAGTTATGAAGTGATGAAATATATTCAGGCTAGCGGTGAATTGATCCTTCCCTCGTCATATCGTCCACCAAAAATTGACTTCGATGCTGTTGTCGCTCGTATTGAGAAATCTTGTAAAGAGAAGATATTGGAAGAACAATATAAACGTAGAATTCAAGAGGTTCATCTTCCTTCTTGTTTTAAATTTTCGTCTTTTACAAGCACATTGAATTTTGCTGCTTAATTCTTTGCTTTATTGCTTATTTTCACAAGAAACGAGTCATTTCAAGCTGAGATATCAGCGGATAAAGTTTCTGTAGATGCCTAAGCGAGGAATCGTACATTCTTATATCTTCGCAAAATTGTTTATGCCAATTTGAGATCATTTTAACCTGTTAGTACTCGCTGAGCATACTTTGTGTGATTGCGTTCAAATTCAGAAGCGTTTCAAACAGGTGAAGTTTAGTCACGACACAATTATGGGTTAATCTGGCAACAGTTTTCTGGTTGAATGATGCCTCATTCCGTTACTGATCTTATTTTCAGCTTAAGAATCAAATAGTCAAAGCAAAAGAGCGGAGAGATACTTTGCAAAGGATGCTTATGTCAAGAATTTTTGGGCCTGTTTAGCAGTGATGGATATCATCGTTCCTTATGTTTTCTCAGGCATTAAAGTGATCATCAATTTTTTCGCGAGTGTATATTGACTGCAATAATGTGTTTTCAGAACGTATTGTTTGTTATTCTAATGTCTGTTGAATTTGTAATTCAGCCTTTCATCATGCAGCCACTGAATCAATCCAGTCATTCGATTTTTTCACTCATACTTAGTTTGTAATTCAGTTTAAAAAGTTCCCTCTCATCGATGCAATACCAAATTCAATTAACATCAAATTCGATTTCGTCTGGTGGGACACATTCTAAATGTTGCGTCAAGTATCGTTTGACAAATGCATCGTGCCGTACGATTAGCACCTATGCTGATAAACATATGTGAAAGTTCAACTCGTTTCCCATTTGTGTGTTCAGTGGAATTGATAACGTGATGCATGATGATTAAGCATTTGCTTAAGAACCGTTTTTGTACGATTCATTGACTGTTCATTAATGTGCTACTCAAATCGCAACTTTTCATATCGGTCTCCAGTGCAATTTTCTGCTTCACTGCTGCATTCCATCAATTGACCATCGTTTGAATTTGTTATTTCATTCTATGACTTATGCTTCATCGTTTTTCGTCATTGATTTTTTGTGTTTTCAGTTCATGTTTTCCAATAAATTGCTTCAGTTTATTTTGGTGTACATTTGAGGGTGATACAAGTGCAACGTTGATTTTGACCATTTCAGTTGGATCAGCTGCAAGAAATCACGCTACGCTAATTGCGTGGATCATGATAGCCAAACAATTTTCCGAAGATTTCTTTTGCGAACGCTTCATTTCTTCGGATGGTTTTGTTCGAGTCGGAAAAGTTGAGGTTTTTTGTGTAGTATTTCAATACGCGCGTTTTGCCTGAAAGTAAAGACGACATGCGACGCGTTTTGGATCAATCATTGGTCTTCAGTTTGTGTGTCGCTCAGCGAGACGGAGTGAAATAGACGGGGCGGGGTTACTGAGTTAGGGATTGGTTATAATACGTCGGATAAATAATGTCTTGATTTGGGGGTATTGATTAATTCGATGTGTTTAATTAAGTTCCACCTCGTTTGGTATAGCCGCAGTATAAATATATCAATTGATGGCACCATGATCCACGCAATTATATCAATATTTTAGCACTGTTGCCGATAACGGGCGCCACAGTGCGCATGTGCTTAGATTATCGCTTTGCCTCATGTGTTGATATGCAATTCGAAGTGAAATCAGGAGTATGCTTGAGCTCAGTCCAATAGTGAGGCTAACGTATAGGCTTCGACTGATGTGTGAAGCGTCTGAGCACACGAACATCTGTGATGTTAAATTTTTCGTAATCAATTATCGTTAGTTCTTCATGCCTTGAATACAGGCAGTTACAGTGGATGTGCACTATTCATACTCATTTCAAGGTCTCGTTAACTGAGTGATTTTTGAATGATCATTAAACGTTCTTGAATATTTCACGGTTTTTTTGATTAACTAACAATGGAAGTATGGTATATCGTATTTGCAGTTAGTGTGACCTTCAAGGATTTAACACTCATTCATCATGTCCGGTGGAAGCAAAGATCGAATTGGTGTATTTCCGTCTCGGATGTTAGTCTTACCTTGTTATTGATTCCATTTTCCTAGTTTCTGTTATCCACTGAAATATTCTTCGAACGAGGCTTACGCTGTAGTTTCTAGTAGTTGCAATTATTAACTTGACTCTATTTTGGTGGAGTGCATAGTAGGTCGTCACTTTGAGCGGTTCCGTTATGCAATAAATCTACACCGCATTTATTAATCAAGCCTGACGGTTGAGAGAACGCTCTAATGCAAGCCATTCAGAGGACTTCAGCTGATCATATTATGTACCCTCGCTAACCAGACGATTCCTTGTTAGCACTAGCATTTTGAACTTTGAACGAGCAAATATTTCGAAATATTCACCTGTTTTTTCGAAAGGAAATATAAAGCAATAAACGGAATATTTCGGAAACTTCATGGGATCATGGGAATATTTTTTGTGATCTCATTTTCATTCCACTAACTTATCCATTTTTGTTGAAGTTTATTCGATGTGTCCACGTGGAACGTGTGGGTTCCTTTTTGTGACATGCAAACAAATATTGAGGCCTTGCAATATTTTAAGCTTCATCTCTTTTCATCCATAGAACTTCAATGGAGAATCTCGTTTTA